GATCACCAAGGGTGAGGTCAAGCCCGCCCCGCCCTGCCTTCTGCCCTCTCTCTCCACACCCCCAGCCTGGCCCTCGGCTCCTAGGAGTCCTCTCAGCTCTGCCCTCTCTAATTGCTCAGTCCAGGGTCCAGCCGCCACTGCGTCTCCATGTCCTCCCTGGACTCCCCTTCTAGGGGACCTCTAAACTCTCCTCCACAGGCGACCCAAGGGGTTTGGTTTTGTTTTAAAAATTGAATCATATCATCTCCCACCCACAGGCCCTGGGCCCCTCACAATGATCCCAACTTCCTGTCCTCCCCTCCCCACCAAGCTGAGCAACCCACCACCACACACGCAGGCTTGCTACCCCACACACCTGTGCCCTCTGACAAGGGCCCTTCCTTCTCTGCCTTTCTCCTATTCACCCCTCAGAACCCAGCTCAAATGCCCCCCACTTCTGGGAAGCCTCCTGGGCTCACCCACTCCCCGGGCTGAGGGAGCCTTTCCTTTTCTTCTTCTGGGCACAGAAGCCCCTCTGCTGGGGTTGCTTATGGGGGGACCTCTAATCGTGTGCCAAACTCTCGCACCCTAAGGAGGGAGGGAGGGAAGGGCGAGTGGGGGGAGAGTGAAGGATGAATGCGTAGGGGTGAGTAGGGGGTGGGGGGCGGGGGGACGAGGAGTGGGCATCGAGCTGAGGGTGAGGGGTGACCACATGCTGGGGGGTGCCCCACTCACCATAGGGAAGGATGCGAAGAGCGGCGTGGGGGCTGACGCAGGGTAGATGGGCGTGGTGGACGGCGGGTACAGGGCCTGGGGCGAGGGCCCGGGCTGGAAGAGCACCGGCCCCTGTGGGAAGGGCGGGTAGAGCAGGTGCACCGCCTTGGGGTCGGGTGGCGCGTAGGGTGGGGGTTCACCCACGAAACCGATGTTGGGGACGCCACCAGCCACCACCTTGGGCCCCTGCCTAGCCTCGCCCGCAGCCTGGGCCTGGGCAGAGGGTGCCGCCGAGGCCTCGGCCTGGGAGTCGGCCGGGGGGTCCTCCTGTGACGGGGCTCTGCCCCCATCCGTGACCGCTTCCTCACTGGGCACTTCATCCTCATCCAGGAGCCGTGGGCGGCGCGGGAGCTGTGGCAGCTGCGGGAGCTTTGGGCTCCGGGGGTCCTCAGGGGCTGGGGGGCCACTGCCCCCTTTTGTGTCCGCTCCTGGGAAGAAATGGTAGGTTCATGAGCCCCAAGAGGCCACCGAGCCACGTGGGACTCGTCCCCCTACGCCCCAAAACAGCCCCTTCAAGGAGAAAGTCTCAATGACCTTGCCAATCCTGACCCTTTACACACCTGTGGGCATCGTGGAGCTGGGGCTGAGAGCCTGTGCTGGAGCCTCTCCAAGCTGGGTCCTTGAAGAATCTTAACCCAAAGTGCAAAGACAGGACAAGAGAACTGAGGCTCAGAGAGGTGAAGTGACTTGCTGGTGGTCACACAGCCAGTGCGTGGCCAGTGGGGACGGTCCACAGGCCTTGCTGTTGCCTGGTGGGCCGTTGGCCCAGATTGCCACTGCTGGGAGGCAGTCCTGGCCCCACTACAGCTAGCAGATTGGGCCAAGAAAGGACCATCGTCCCAGGGCAGCCTCCTGAGAGGCTGGCTTGAGACACAGTCCAGTGGGGACTACTCTCAGGAGATGAGCTGAGCCAATCAGAGTCTTGGCTTGGGAGCTGGGGAAGGTGGGGTGCTCAGGAGTTCTCAGACCCTAACTGATTGAATGACCTCAAAGAGCCAGGAAGGGCTGGCCGAGTGGCTCAGTTGGTTAACAGCTAGCTTAAGAGCACAAGCTCTGAGCAACAGGGCCGCCGGTTCGATTCCTACATGGGCCAGTGACGCTGCACCCAATTTGAGCTGCCACTGAGCTGCCAACAGGTGACAGGATGGCTCAGCTGGTGAGAGCATGTGCTCCTAACAAGACTGCCTGTTCGATGGTGGGTTACACCTGCCCGCAACTAAGACTGAACTCGATACCTTAAGCTGAGCTGCTGCCCGGATGGCTCAGTGGATAGAGTGTGTGCTCTTAACAACAAGGCTGCTGGTTCGACTCCCGCATGGGATGGTGGCTACGCCCACCAGCAACTAAGATTGTAACACGGCACCTTGAGCTTAGAGACCACGAGCTGCTGACGGGAAGCCAGATGGCAACTGGCGCCCAACTAAGATTGAAGAACAACAACCTGGCTGGTCCCCTTCCCCAATTCCCCAATTAAAAAAAAAAAGAATCAGGAGGTCACTAAGGGTCCAGTGTCTATAGGGGCATAGAGGGAACAAAACGTGAATGAGGGTGGCGAGGGGCAGACAGAGCAGAGGAGCAGTGGGTAGAGAGAAGCCAGGGCTCGGCGGCCCTCAGCTGCCCAGCTGCCTTCCAGCCTGGCCCTGGATTCACACAATAAACCCCAGAGGCACCTGAGCAGGACTCGACAAGTCCTGAAGGTCCCCCTGCACCTCCTGAGAGCATCCTGACAGCTGACCACATCTGGGCCTGAGGCAGGTACTGGAGGAAGGGCCTGGACGAGAGTCCTGGGTGGACCCCCTGGACCTGGGTGGGCATTCAAGGCCCCACAGCAGGGGTGGGCAGCCAGGGACTGGCATTGGGAAGTCATTTCCTAAGTGTCCTTAGTGTTATAGAAAGCAGAGAAATAAGTAAAGCAGACACAACAGTGACAATCCAGGCGATGGTGAAAAAGATTTGCTGAAATCCCCCCTCCCAGCCCCACCCCAACCCCCACTCCTCCCAGGCCCTACTAAGCTGGTCCATGGAGGAGGGATCCCCAGTGGCCAGGAGTGCTGAGCTCCTAAGGGCTCCCCACCCCACCTTCTCACTCAGCCAGGGCTCACTCAGGGCCTCTGCGCCTCACGGACCTGCCATGCTTATGCCTCGGCACCTTTACCTGCGCTGTGGCATTTATTTCTCCACCCCTTGAATTTGGACGTGGCCATGTGACCTGCTTTGGCCAATGGAACACTGATAAACATTGTGCAAGCAGAGGCTTTAAAAACCCATCTCTCCAGGTTACCAGAGACTGGGGAGGAGGAGGAGTTAATGTTTAACGGGGACAGAGTCTCAATTTCGGAAGATGAGAAAGTTTTGGAGATGATGGTGGTGATGACGGTACCACAACATGAATGTACTTAATGCAACTGAACTGTACACTTAAAAATGGTTCAGATGGTAAGTCTTAGGTATATTTTATCAGTTTTTAAAAAGCGTATCTCTCCTGCTGATTAAAACTGAAAACTTTAGACAAAATACCAAAGAAAACTACCCAAAGTCACAAAAAGTGAACAAAAGCAGGCGGTGGAATGGAGTCAAAACTCAGAGAAGCGACCTTCAAGGGGTATTTCCCACTTGTCTCTCCTGTTTCCGTCAAAGTTTGAAGATCCAGCCCAAGAGCCACATGGTGGAGTTGCAGAACGGGCAGCTGAACTCCACCAGAAACCCTGTAATTCTGGCCAGAGGAACCAGGAAAGGGTCCCTGCGGAATGGAAGAGTGGGAAAGACCCTGACGAGGAAGGAGCTGTAGATGGGGCTCCCTTAGTTCTGTGTGTGAACAGGGGTGATCAGTGTATATCCGTTTGCCCAGGACTTTCTCAGATTTACTACTGAAAATCACACATCCTGGAAAACCCCTTAGTTCCAGGCAAACTGGGATGGTTAGTCACCCAAGAATGGGTCCACGCAAGTCTTGGGCTCACCTCCAGGCTGCATGTGTAGGGCACAGACCTAGACCAGCCTAAGGCAGACTTTGAAAATTGGATCACCAAAACAGCCAGAAAGCAATTCACAAAATGACAAGAAGTACATACATCAATATTATTTTTAAAAATGTGAATGAACTAAATTATCTAACCAAAAGACGTAGAGAGGCTAAATGAATAAAGAAACAAGACCAATCTCTATGCTGCCTGTAAGAGACTCACTTTAGATGTTGGGACACACTCCTCAGACTGAACATGAAGGAATGGAAAAACATGCCATGCGAATGGAAACCAAAAGAAAGCTGGGGTAGCTGTACTTACATCAGATAAAATAGACTTTAGAACAAAGATTGTAATAAGACACAAAGAATAGTACTACATAACGATAAAGAGGTCAATCCAACAAGAGGATACATTTATAAATATTTATGCATCCAACATAGAAACACCTAAATATACATGGTAAACTTGAACAGATCTAAAGGGAGCAATAGACAGCAAGACAATAATAGTAGGGACTTTACTCCCCCACTTACATCCATGGATACATCCAGACAGATAAGTCAGTAAGGAAGCATTGGCGTTAAATGATTCATTATACCAGATGAAACTTAACACATATATACAGAACATTCCATCCAAAAACCAACAGATTACACATTCTTCTCAAGTGCACAGGGAACATTCTCCAGGGTAAATCATGTTTGACCACAAAACAAGTCTTAAAAATTTTAGAAAGACTGAAGTCATATCAAGCATCTTTTCTGACACAGTGGTATGAAACTAGAAATCAATGACAGGAAAACCAGAAAATTCACAACAGATTGGAGATGAAGCAGCATGCTACTGAACAACCAATGGGTCAAAGGAGAAATCAATAGAGAAATCAAAAAATACCTTGAGGCAAATGAAAGTGAAAATACAACATACCAACAACACTTACAGGATGCAGCAAAAGTAGTTCTAAGAGGGAAGTTCATAGTGATAAGTGCCTACAGCAAGAAACAAAAATCTCAACCAACCTAACTTTACACCTCTAAGAACTAGAAAAAGAACAAAGCCCAAAGTTAGTAGAGGGAAGGAAATAAAGATCAGAAGTGGGAAGAAATGAAATAGAGACTAAAAATAAAGTGGGAAAGATCAAAGAAATGAAGAGCTGGTTCTTTGAAAAGATAAACAAAATTGATAAACCTTTACCTAGACTCACAAAAAAAGAGAGAGAAAACTCAAAATCAGAAATGAAAGAGGTGTTACAACTGATACCGCAGAAATACCAAAGGATCACGAGACCACAGTGAACAATTAGACGCCAGCAAATTGGACAACCTACAAGAAATGGATTAACTCCTAGAAACCTACAACTACCAAGACTGAAACATGAAGAAATAGAAAATCTGAACAGACCAAATACTAATATGGAAATTAAGTCAGTAATCAAAAAACCCAACAAACAAATGTCCAGGACAGACAGCTTCACTGGTGAATTCTACAAACATTCAAATTAGAATTAATATCAATCCTTCTCAGACTCTTCAAAAAAAAAACAGAAGAGGAGGGAACACTTCCAAACTCATTTTACAAAGCCAGCGTTGCCTGATACCAAAACCAGACAAGGACGCCACAAGAAAGAAAATTACAGGCCAATTCCCTGATGAACACAGATGCAAAAATCCTCAATAAAATGTTAGCAAATGGAATTCAACAATATGTTAAAAGGATCATACACCATGATCAAGGGGGACTTATTCCAGGGATGCAAGGATGGTTTAACATCCACATATCAATCAATATGATAACCACATTAACAAAATGAAGGATAAAAATCATATGACCATCTCAGGTGCAGAAATAGCATTTGAGAAAAATCAACATCGATTTATGATTGAAAACTCTCAACAAAGTGAACATACCTTAGCATAATAAAGGCCATATATGACAAGCCCACAGCTAATGTCATGCTCAACAGTGAAAAACTGAAAGCTTTTTCTCTAAAATCAGGAACAAGACAAAGATACCCACTCTTGCCACTTTTATTCAACATAATATTGCTTTAGCCAGAGCAATTAGGCAAGAAAAAGAAATAAAAGGCATCGAAATAGGGGAAAAAATTGTTTAGAAAAACAATTGTTAGAACTAATAAAAATTAGTTCCTGAAAAAAGTTGTTAGAGCTAATAAACAAATTCAGTAAAGCTGCAGGATACCAAATCAATATTCAAAAATCTGTTGCATTTCTATACAATAATAATGAACTTTCAGGGGAAAAAAATTAAGGAAACAATCCCCTTTACAATTTCATCAAAAAGAATAAAATGCCTAGGAGTAAATTTAATCAAGGAGGTAAAAGACCTGTACACTGAAAACTATAAGACATTAATGACAATATTTGAAAAAGACACAAATAAATGAAAAAATAGTCTGTGCTCATAGATTAGAATAATTAATATTGCTAAACTCTCTATACTACCAAAAGCAATCTACAGACTCAATGCAATCCCTATCAAAATCCCAATGGCATTTTTCATAGAAATAGAACAAACAATCCTAAAATTTGTATGGAACCACAAAAGACCCTGAATATCCAAAGCAATCTTGAGAAAGAAGAACAAAGCTGGAGGCATCATACTCCCAGATTTCAAACTATTTTACAGAAATATAGTAACCAAAA